TGTGTGTGTGTGTGTGTGTGTGTGTGTGTGTGTGTGTGTGTGTGTGTGTGTGTGAATCCACGTACCCATTTCTCCATGTCTATGAGCTGTGGAGCAATGGACACACAACAGAAAGAAAAGAAAGGAAACGTCATGCTTCCATCATCATGAAGTAACACATCAGACTCCTTCATTTCAGCAGAGGTTGATGGGTTTTGCAGTTAAATCTTTGGGTTTCCTGTTTCTTTGTTATTCAATTAATATTTCTGTTAATTATAAATGTTTGTTATTTGATGTGGGTGAAAAAAACACTAGGGGAAAAACGATTCTATTCTGCATAAAGGAATTATTAATACACCTGTAGGGTCATCGGAGGTCAAAGGTCGTCCTCTGCTCATGAATGAACGGAGCCGTGATGTGGATGTTTTATCGAAATGCTTTTTTGTTTTTAGTCACAAAAACAAAAGCTAAAACATCATTTCCTGCAGCATGATCACACGGTTAGTGAGTTCGATCAATTATTAGATCATTAATAAATGAGCCACAGCTGGAATGAGAAAGAAACAGAGAGCAGATAATAGCTCATGCTGACCTCAGATCACACACAACCTCTCAACACCATCACAACACGTCTGAGGGAATAATTCATCATTCAATGAAAGCATCAAACTCCAGAAAGGAAGAAAAGCACCAAAGTGTCATAACAGTCATCTACATTGGGGCTTTTCAATGTTTTTGATGCCAAAATCCTCTAAATATGATGATTACTGATCGGTAGAGACCCCTACCTAAAATATCAAGACCTCTATATATTCACACACACACACAAAAAAATGCTGAATGAGAAAAGTATTGTAATATTGTAAAGACAATAAAACGGTTTATTATAAGACAAAATAAATTAACACATGAATTATTTATTATTTATTATATTTCCCAAATTAAGTAATGGACTTTTATGCTGTCATAGTACTAAAGCAAACTGTTTACATTCTGTCTGGAAAACATCTGTGCATATCTCAGATTATAATCATCAGAAGAAAATATTTATTTTTCACCAAAACTATATGGAGATTTATTTTTTTAAAAACATAATATTAATAATCTTTTTTTTTTTTTTAAGTCACATGATACTTTATAACTGCACTGGCTCTCACGTGTGTCATAACTGAATGCATTAATCCTGAATGAGATCTGAACACTCAAAATGATATTTATTTCAGTTTGTCTCTCATAAAACCATCACATGACTTTATAAGGTGAGTTTAGGTGTATTCGGTGGCGCATTACCATCAAAAACAAAACTAATGCACTGCGTCCTCAGCGGCTCTGATGTCGGGAGAAAAAGAAGAGTCTTATGTTCACTTTTACACCCAGCTACAAAACACCTGCACTGCTTACGAGATGTTGTTGTTGTCGCTGCAGATGCTCGAGTGCGGAGGAAATGGCGGACAGCACACAACTGGCTGAGGGCGGAGCTATGCTAATAAGGGACAGTCTGTCAGCGGCTGTGGGCGGGGCCTGAGCAGTATGACATCATATTGCTCAGAAAATCAAAACGGCTTGATTATTGGTGGATAAAAAATATATTTATTTATAATATAAATATTTTGGGGATAAAAAAAAGGAGCAAATGGATTTTTATCATTGTAGGGTGGTTGTGTCCACACACTGCTAAGACACAATTATATGCAAACAGCATGTAAAAGTGAATTTCTCATCCAATGTCCCCTTTAAGGTGTTTTTGTCTTTTCTGGAGACTGATCATCACGCACGCGCACACACACACACACACACGCACACACACACACACACACGTACACGCACGCACGCACGCACACACACACACGTACACACACATATTATAACCTGTAACTTGAATGTGGGAAATAATTACAGTTAGATCCAAAAGATAGTTTTAGCAACACAGCGCAGATGCTACAGAACACAGTTAGCGGACTAGCTGTATAAGAACTGCTGTAATTTTTAAAGATTTCATATTATTTTAAGGTTACACTACTATGACAATCACACAGCTTCAGTGTGACATCAATAAGAAAAAGTATAATTTCAAAGATATTGTCAATAATAGTTGCACATATTAAAATATGTATGAACTTAATACATGACCTAGATTATTTATTTTGCAAAAATATCAAAATCTTTGTCATTTTAATAAATATTACATGAAATTTATGAAAAATTGTTGCTGCTCCAATTAAGCTCAGTGTGCTCTCTTTAAGCTCTTCATAACATTACTTCATAAACTGATTTTAAATATAAACTGATGGTTGTCACTTTAAGTTAATCTTTATAAAATGGTTAACTTATTTGAACAGCTTTAAGATAACTAGACGTAATTATAGTTTATGACCAAAGATGAAAGAGGCATGTCATCCGTACAAAGAAGGAGCCTCTGTCCAGGGAAAAAGCAACTAAAGGCTGGAATAAACTACACAACTTTTAAAATGTGAACAGATTTTTAAAACACCAGTGTATGATCGTTTACTGCATGATGGCTAGTTTTCCTTTGTGACTTGTAAATAGTCAAACTGGGCATCATACACTAAACGACTGAAGATCACACACTACCAGGCCTTCAAGTCGTTCCGATCGCAACAAACTCATCCAGAAATGTGTGCATTGTTGCTAGGAGACACATGAAATGAAATGAAAACAATGTGTTCTAAAATCTGCTGAAAATATCAAACATGTTTGATCTCCTCCGACTGGATGGAATCAAAGGCTGAAGCTAAAAAATCTGAGTCTGTGACCATCATACACTACGTGATTTTCTATGGAATCAGTCGACTCAAATCTACAGACTGGCTCTGACCTTCGGCAACTAGCATCAACTTCTCCAGACTGTAAATCTGTGCAAAATTGGGGCAAAAATCATGTAGTGTATTCCAGCCTTAAGAGACTATAGATAAGTAGACATTCCTTTAATAGGAGACTTCATAATGAGGCTAGTTTCTGTGTTCATCCCCGTGAATGAAATGTTTTATTGGTTTGTTTTGTTATTTGATTTTTGAATACGTGTTACTTAGCTGAACGTGGACTAGTCTAGATGCTGCAATGTGCTTAAATGACACTTCACTGTGAATATATAACTGATCAGATTGAATGCCTTGTTGCTTGATTTTAGTGTTGTTTTTTTGTGACTGACTTTGTACCTTCAACTAAAATATTTTTCAATTATTCTTTAAAAAGGTTGTTTAAAATAAACAAGAATTTTTAATAAAACATGATGTGAGCTTAATGGGAACAGGGGTGTGCTTAAAGGGAACAAACATGTACCCATTAAGCACAGCCAGACTTTTTGCATTTAATGATGTATATCTTAATCAAAGCTTTTGTCATTTAAAATAAAATTAAATATTTTTGTGTGAGAGATTAATATTTTATTTTAACATAACTTCTTGTACTGAAACCAATATCTTGTGCACTAAAAAAGCCTCACTGTAGATTTTGGTGAGCTTAATAGGTACGTTTACCCTATTTTTTTGTTTAGCTGTCATGTGATCATCAACATTTATCAGAAAACCATGAACATGTGAATGTGTTGTTAAATATTCTTAGACTTCAAGAAAACATTTAAACTCCAGATATTTCGGCTGAGAAAAAGCTTGTGAATCCCTGATCAAACACAACACATACCACAGTGACTGCATTCACCATATGAATATAATTTATTATATTTGAAATCTTTAATTCATTATTAAGGTTTCACTGAAAAACATTACAGTTAAAGATACAGTAAGTTTCAAACTCTCTATTAAAATGAATAAATAAACATCTAGAGATCAGATACATCTGTAGGAACTCTAAAAATGCCAGCAATGAAACACTTTGAAGATTCACGTGCTGCAGTGACACTAACTGAATCAAGAATCACACTGGAATCATGACTCTTGAAGCAAATCAAATCAAATGATGCTGTGCCTAAAAATAAGACAAACACCACCGTCCAAATCCCTATGTCACTTCCTGTGAGTCTCTGCTAACTGGCTGTAGACACACACAGAGAGGTTTGGAACAGATAATACGCCTGTGATCCAGAGTGAATCATGTGACCGGCCGACCTGACCACATGAACCCGCTAACAACAGATCAAACAGAGGGCAGGTGAGTCAGAGCCGCCACAGGACACACACTCTCTCACACACACACACACACACACACACACACACACACACACACACACACACACACACACACTCTATTTTGAAGAGAGAAATATCTTCTTTTGCGTTCGACAGAAGGAAGAATCTCATACAGGTTTGGAATCACATGAGGGAGAGTAAATTAAGTCAGAATGATCGTTTGGGGTTGAACTTTTTTTTTGTTTTTTTGTTCTCATCTCCATAAACATAAGATGCCGGTGCATCTGATTTGTTGTTGGACTGCCATTGCGCTCGTATTTCTTCTTCGCTGTGAATTACAATTTCCGTTCATCTGACCACCCGCAATCTGGGAAGCACCACTACAAGAAGTCTGGAGGTACAGCCGCTCCGGTAAGCCAAAGTGGTAAACAGCCACAGTGTAGGTATGAATTTAGATCTTTTGTATGTTTAAAAAAATATCGATACTTGGTGCCAGAGTATCGATAACGTCTCGCGGCCAGAAATATCGCAATAAATCGGCAAATCGATTTATTGTCCCACCCCTAGACAATATATGGTTTATCTTCAGTTCTTCTTATTATAATTTTCATTATAATAAAGTATATTTATAATGCAATGCTAATCGACATAGCCTTTATCACTGCATAGCATACTATGAAATAATATGTTGCGTGTCTTATTCTGTGTAAGAAGCCACATCTCACAGAAGGGTTTTATTTCAGGCCGAGGCTAGTGATGATGGCTCACGGAGTTTCATGCATTGCTCGTACTGCACAGGATGCTGCTTGAGGTGATGAAAGAGATTAGTGGTGCTACCACGCTTTGTAGCTATTATCTTCTTGCACACCTTGCAAATGACGGTATTTTGATTGGCATCTGTTATCTGAAAACCAAACCACCCCCATATTACAGATTGTGCGTTCCTTTTGGAGACATTATCCCCTCCCATGTCTCTTTCCAAACCTGTGTTGATTATCATCTCCATTTTGCTAATTTGTAAAAAAAAAAAAACTCACCTCACATCTCTTGCGCGGTAATACATAAGGGGACGTAATATTGGACGTTCGGCACGTTCTTTTGGGAAAGTATGCTTGAATTTGAAATATTCGATATTCACGATATTTTCAACTTTTACATCGTCGTCAAAATTATTGCGATATTATCGCTAATATTCGATATATCGCCCAGCCCTAACACACACACACACACACACCACGCACACACACACACACATAAACACAAACAAACACACTCACACACACACAGACACTCAAACACGCACACGCACACACACAAACACAAACTCACTCAAACACACACACACACAAACATGCACACACACAAACAAAAACAAACACACACACACACTCAAACACACACACACATAAACACAAACACTCAAACACACACACACATACACACACACACTCACTCAAACACACACACACACACACTCTCACTCAAACACACTCAAACACACACAACACACTCAAACACACACACACACACACACACTCAAACACACACACACGTACTCAAACACACACACACACACACACATACACACTCTCTTCAAAATATCTTTTGCGTTCGACAGAAGGAAGAATCTCATACAGGTTTGGAACAACATGAGGGAGAGTAAATGAAGTCAGAATGATCGTTTGGGGTTGAACTATCACAATGTTATTTTCAACATTTACCAAAAGTTGTGTGTCTGTTCATATTATTTAATGAACCTGAACTAAACATGAACTACTAATAAACAGTTTTATTTCTATTCACTATATAAACAAAGATGAATAAATACTACAAAAAGTTTATCACTCATTGTTAGTTAATAATATAAACATTAATTCAATAGATAATTAATAGAATAGATAAACATTAATTCAACATATCTAATTGTTCCCATGACAAAAAGCATGGCAGTGGTGCACTGATGCTGTAAAACATTAATGACAGTGAAGTGTGCTATATTCAGGCAGACCGTGATGCTGCACTGATGCTTCTGTCTCTATGGCAACTGAGTGACATCAAATCAGTGTTCAATCATCGTGAAACTGCTGCTGACACACAACACTCGTGCAACTTACAGACGCACCATCAGCGGCGCAGGGAAATCTGCGTTACGATCTGCAGACGCCGTTATCAGGACAGAATGCCTCTTTGATATAGCGATCAACGCTTCCACGAGTTAAAATCACATCCACATCGATCACTAGAGCCGACTGTGATTATTTCATCTCATCTCAACCACAATCACATGTTGTCATATACAGTAAATATGGGAAATTATATTTTTTTTCAGTCTCCGTCAGTGCTAAGACTGCTTAACACACTGCAAGTTGACTTTATTTTCACATTCATGCAGTTCATTCACTCTTGACCGTAACACACTGACAGGATTTCTCATTTCCATCCATTGTTGGTGAATCGATCACCTGTCGAACGTCATAATGGTGAGCGTTTTATGGGAGGAGCAGGTCATTCATTATTTTGCTTCAGTCAGATGTTGATGGCTTTGGTTGAGATCTCTGATGGACAGAAGCAGCACTCACTCACCCCTTCCGCTCTCTCCTCGGTGTTAGCCAGCATCTCCTGCAGCGCTCGTACAGACAGCGACTGCTCCAGCACAAACGTGCATATGGACAGATCCGGAGGAACGTTCTGGAAACACACATCATTCAGCTCAGCTCATGTTTAAGAAGAACCACTGATTTAAATGTAATGTTTAACTCTTGTGTTATGCTCAAATTCTGAGCACAATTGTGACCCTGGAGCACAAAACCAGTCATAAAGGTCAATTTTTTAAAATTGAGATTATGCATCATAAATAAGCTTTCCATTGATGTATGGTTTGTTAGGATAGGACGATATTTGGCTGAGATACAACTATTTGAAAATCTGGAATCTGAGGGTGCAAAAAAATCTAAATATTGAGAAAATCATCTTTAAAGTTGTTCAAATGAAGTTCTTAGCAATGCATATTACTAATCATAAATTAAGTTTTGAAATATTTACAGTAGGAAATTTACAAAATATCTTCATGGAACATGATCTTTACTTAATATCCTAATGATTTTTGGCATAAAAGAAAAATGGATAATTGTGACCCATACAATGTATTGTTGGCTATTGCTACAAATATACCCCAGCGACTTAACACTGCTTTTGTGCTCCAGGGACACAATTGTATTGCTGCAGATCAAACTGACCTAAACAAATTCAATACAATTCACCAAAAATCACACTATGAAAAAATAAATCATGTCAAAAGAGTAAACCTTTAACATGAATACTTCTCACACATTGCATCAAAAAAACACATGAAAACAAGCTTTTTAAAACTTTAGCAATTTTTTTTTACTTTTTCTTTTAAAAAAAAAAAACAAAAAAAAAATATTATAAACAGAATTGTAAATAATTATTTTTTATTTTAAATTGTAAAAATGAATGAATTATTTATTTATTATACTTTTTACAGTAGAGCATGGTAATAGCAATGAGAAGATCATGGGTTTCATTCCCAGCTAAATGGCCGTGCTTGAACTGATAAAAATTTGCATCAAAATACTTTCTTTTTTTTGTTTGCTGCCATGAACATTGAACATAACCATGAAAATACGGGTCAAATTGAACATCATAATCATAATAAAGCTTTTGTATACCCATTTCACAAAACCTCAGATTTTCAAAACTTTGCAGGCATGTTCTTGACCCAAAGTGAAAAATTGTAACAAAATTAAAATAATAATAATATCCTAAAATTAACCATTATTTTCAAAAACTCAATTTTGTGTTAATACAGGGGTTACAGAAACTCGAAGCAGCTCCTGCTGAACTAACGTGTGAAGATCTGGGCTGCTGACTAAAAGGCCGCAGGTTCTAAACCTGCAGCAGGATCTCACGAGTCTCTGCGCTTCAGTTAGGGTTAGAGCTGAAATCAGCTGGCTAGATTTGAGTACGTTTCTTGAGCAGATAAAGGTAGCTTGTGTTTGCGATCAGTGTGTGAAAGTGAGTGAGAAACATTATTTTCAGCAATCTGATGACAGAATGAGTCAAATGAGGCCAGTGTCATTAGAAACTCCTCAGATGGACCTGAGCAATCAAACAGAATTACAGCTCCCTCTCATCATCTCATGAGCAGTCTTTATGAGAGCGATGATTAAATGATTCACGGTCTCAGCAGACTCACTGCTGTGTGTGCGCACTTTGGATGGGTTAAATGCAGAGCACTAATTCCTAGTATGGGTCACCATACTTGGCCACATGTCACGTCACTTAGTGAAGATGTGAGACTCGTACCTTTGAGTTTGACGTGGACTCGAGGAAACACAGTCTGTTCCCGAAGCCCTCGGCAGCCAGACAGAGCTTCTGCTGCTCCTTATGGACCATCGCGGAGCACTGGAGGACCACCTCATCATCCTGAAACAAACACACATCAGACAGTGTCACACGTCAACACCACACACTGACCGTCATCTGGAGCTGAGCTTCATGAGGAGATGCAGCGGGTTTATGAAAAGCTAATCATTCATTAAATCATTAAAATGCCCATTTTTAATAAATAAATGTAAAATAAAAAGAATAAAAATTAACCACCTTCTAAAAAAGACAAAATATTTCATTTTAAATAAAAATCAAAATAAAATACTCATTAAAAAGATTAAATATTTTATTTGAAAAAAGTAAAAATTAAATAAAAATTAAAGACCACAAAGATTAAATATTTTATTTGAAGAAAAAAAAAAATAAAATAGATTGAAAATAGAGATTGAAATACACTGCTTCATACACGCAATATCCACAACATCATCATGAGATTCAGCAGACGTCATCTTAAAACATGACTGCATGAATCCACACACACACACACACACACACACACACACACACACACTTACACACTTCAACCTCAAACTCACTGAAGATTCAATGACATGAAACTAACGAACTAACAAATCACGAAACATCAACATAAAACTCCCTGAGACTCGAGCTGCTGCAGATGGACAGAACTAAACATATGTGTCATCATATATTGAATATATAACTTCATGAGCGTCAGGTGAGCGTCTCTGATGCTCAGTGTGATTGATTACAGCTCCAGCAATAAACATATGAACAGATCAATCATCTGTCAGTCATCTCTTACAATCCTCCATCAATCACTATCTAACGACTTCATCATCTTCATCTCTGACACTGATATTACAAATACAATAACTCAGATACCATATCAGACAATAAACTCTATTATCGTTATATCAAAACAAAAACAATCAACTCCATGAAAACTGATTAAGGAAAAGAGTTATTACAACATCGACAGCAGATAAAGCATCACCACTTCAATATTGCAGGACATTTTCTTATAAGCTACCATTAAAATAAATACGTTATTTATTTATTATATATGTATCTGCAAGATTTGACCTGTTTATTCTTTAGATCTAAATCTGCATTAGCCATAAAACAAACACAGGTCAGTCAACCACAATAATCAACAAACAATACATGAGAATACTGCAGCAGTTGATGCAGCGAGAGCGCAAACACACACACACACACACACACACACACACACACACACACACACACTCACACTTTCACAATGGAGACTAATCCTATTATATTAAGATGGAGTAACCTTGATGTGTGTGTGTGTGTGTGTGTGTGTTAATCTGACCAGACTGTGTGTGTGTGTGTTTGTGTTGCATATCATAGACGTCTTCCTTCCATTGACATATTTTTCTTTACAGTTATCTATAAACACTACAAACAAATCCAAACACACACACATACACTGTCAGAACACTGACACATTATTACAATTAAAGCACATGGTTGACATATATATCATCTGCACACATGAGCAGAAGTGTGTTGTTGAGAAGCAGATCATCACACGCCTGTGGCAATACAACACGTCTGTGACATACTGTAATAGAGCGCCACTGCACACATCACAACACAATGAACACACAACTAACATCACATCACATGACATGACCGCTGGCCATCCACACACACACACACACACCGTACTCGAGTCACAGACATACAGCAACATATACATAGCAAAGCTCAACGGCTTGATTCTTTTTATGGTCACAAAATATAACTACTGTATATTATTGTCCAGCTCTAATCTGATCAATGGGAATATAAGACATGAAGATATTAAGATATTAGAAACATTAAGATTATGATTTTCTGTAAAGCTGCTTTAAAACAATCTGTATTGTATAAAGTACTATAGAAATAAATGTGACTTGATTTCTCCAGTAGAAACTTCACGTGTTTTGCTATTATTGGCTTGATTAATGTTATTGATTAAATATTCATTGTTAATGATGGCGTCACAAATTAAACTTTGAAAATAACACAAAAACACTAATGAATTCCTTGTCACAGTCGTGATCGATTATGAGACATGTGACAATCAACGTACAGCATGACACATCTGTGTGTCTCATCTGAATGTGACAAGAGTAAATAGAGTTTGTGTGTGTGTGTGTGTGTGTGATGATGATGTTGCTGGAGGCTACAAGCATTTGTTTTCTACAAAACGACAACAGGCAGATGGAGCCACATAAAATATTAATGAAGACCTCACTCACAATGTGTGTGTGTGTGTGTGTGTGTTCTTGTGTGTGTTATATCTGCTGCTGCTGATGGTGTGTGTGTGTGTTATTAAGTGGCTCCTCCAGATATAAATGCTGTAACTGTGAACGAAGCCTTTAATCAAGTTACGCAGTGGAGCGATGGAGAAACGCCGGCAAACGAGACAAATCTATTCTGATGAGAAATATCACCATTAACACACACACACACAAGTTGATTACTGAACGCCTGTGTTTGTGTTTTTCTCTCTGCTGTGACGTCAGACCTTCATACCTCATATCATCATCACGGCCCTCAAACATGTCACATTCTCACCAGTGCAGTGATGAAGACGAGCGCATGTGTTCACAGCACTGCAGTGAGATTAACAGAAACACTGGCGATTTATCTGAGGCCAAACATGCGATCAGTGCATTATATGCTGCAGTGAACATCCTGACCTGAGAAAGGATGAGGAAGGTTACATGTCTGTAAATAACACAAAACCAAGACTGCACGTTTGTGACGCTACATGGCATGAGGGGTATTTATACCCATGAATTCAGATACTGTTGCTTTAAGAGCTGCAGAAAATGAGACGAGCAGTTGAAATGCATTTACAGTATCTGTGTGTGTGTGTGTGTGTGTGTGTGTGTGTCTGTGTGTGTGTGTGTGTGTGAGTGAGAGTG